GGAATTTTGCTACATGACAGCCATAAAAGTTACAATGTTTTAGTTATCAATAATTTTTTCCTATTTTGAACTTAAGGACAAGAAGTTCAGAACAACATTTAAAATTACAACTAAAAACTTTAGTGGGCAACAACAGTGTACATCAGAAGCAAACAACTATTGTTCCAAATTGTCCATGTTCACCACAAACAGTATGATACTTTTAATGGCAGCAAAATTGCTTTACAGGCTTTATTTAAATCTTGCTCTGATTCCCACCCAAAAACTTAACAGTACTCACTATCAACATTATTTAATGTTATCTTCAAATAATATAAAATTAATTATTAATTAACAGTGTGTAAAACTATTGCAACTCCAGCAGGCACACAGCTCTTGCGTTCTTCTTTTATAAGCTGTCCTATTTCTGATGTAATTTTAATTCTTTAATGATTCTTTCTTTGAGTTATTGAATAAATTTTTGCTCTGACGTGAAGTAATTTTGTACATATGTACACTGCTCAAAAAAAAAAAAAAAAAATGGGACGTGCTATATCTCCCGTTCTACTGGGCCGATTCACGAAATTTCAAATTGTGTTTCTTCACATCTCAAAAGCGTGACTTAGGATATACATTAGATTTATATATAGCATTGTTCTAATATAGGTATTTTGACACAAATCGGACTTTTTCTGAAATAAACATACCATTTTTTTACATATTTCGATTCTCTCTATTCACGACTCAAATTATGCCAGAATACCAAGTTTTTGTAAAAATCGTACGAGTAGTTTTTGAAATATTAACTCTCAAAATTTTAGCTCCTCAATGTTAATTGAATTTGGCAAATTTATTTTATGCCTCTTTTTTTATTAAACTTTTTGATTTTTATCTCACTTTCGAAATTTAGGTTCATTCCAAATAAATTTACCCATTTTTTGTGTCTTATTTTTTAAATTTCTATTTTAAATAATTTTTTAAAAATTTTTTTTCGAAAAAAATTTTGAATTATAACCTATAAAATTTTTATCTTAAAGTAGGTATATTTTTAAACATATCTGCAAAAAATTAGACTTTTTTATTCAAAATTTTTCTAAGATATACACAAATTTACATTTTTTCGCGTTTTGAAATTTGGCATCTTTTTTTTGAGCGATAATAACGCCAAATGTGGCCTATGGTTTTTGTTACGCTGTATTGCCACAGCTATTTTTTTAACCTTAAATTTCAAGTAAAATTTTTACGAAGAATTAATTTTATGACATTTTTTCCCTTAAATTTTTTGTAAGAGTAAATTTTTACCTTCGGCGGTTTTATCGTCTTCTACTTACTTTTACTTCGTTTAAAATCAAATTGTCTAAAACTGAGAATTTTCGTTTGATGTTTATTTGAATTTTATGACATTAACTGCACAATTTATTTTAAACAAACTGATGCTTTTTGAAGTGGCTGAAAGAGCGGCTGGTACTATCATCCATATTTTTAAAGCACAGTATATTTTTATAGAAAAAAAGATTTAGAATAATCATTTTAATAAAATCAAATTATGATATAATATACAACCCCTCTAGAGACTGAATTAATGGAAGTTCAATGGTTATGTAGAAATGATCTGCAGCTACTTAATCACTGGATTTCTGTGGACAAGTAAGAATAATTATATTTATATAATTATTCCCACACCCAACATTCGACACCCAACATTCTGAATTCAATTAACAACGAGGATACGATGTTTATTAAATGAATTCAAGAAGTTTTAAAACATAAAAAAATCAACTCATTTTTTAACCTAAAATGTATTTTTGTGTGTAGCGTATTTTCATTATTCTAATTTAAAATTCTAATAATTCTTAAAATTCTAATTTAGAATGTAATTGTCAGAACTGATTCCTAATCATCAGTAATATAATAAGTAATTATTACGGTTATTAATAAATCCTTCTTATAAAGTAATTGCAAATATTTCAAAAAACTTTCTGTCTGAATGCAAATATTTTTTATTTTATATTAATCAAGATTGCACACGATATTATTTTTTGCACTTCAATTCTTAACGTCAGTTCTAGTAGAAGTTACAAATCAATTATATTTAATTAAGGATTGGATTGGATTGGATTATTTAATTATGGCAAAGCACACGAGGGCTATCTGCCTAAAGAGAGGGATACCTTCGTGGAGAACTTTCTAAGAGAAACTGGCTCGTATACACGTTACACATCGGGAAAACCACGAAAACACCCATGCAACCAGCCCGTTCGCGGGATTTGAACCTCGAACCGAACTACCAGTGATCAGCGTCTTTACCGCTCGACCGTTTGTGGGCCTTAATGAAATGGAAGGCGATAACTTTATTTAAAATGATTGTCAGAAATACCAACATGTTTCGAAAAGTTGGATACTTTTTAATATACTTTCAGAATGCTTAAAGAAAAGAGAAGAAAATAAATTTTTTTCGTAAAATTTAGTATTTGTATTTTTTTTTAATTTAAAACTTTTCAATGTTATGATATTTGATTCTTGCGATTTCAAAAATAAATATTTGACTAAAATATGAATAACATTTTAAGAAAACCAAATGTAGGATAAAATTGTGTAAAGCAATGGGCACAATGATAAAACTGTTTAAAGCAGTGTATGCAAGTCATCCTAAGTTAAAATGTCGGTTATACATCTCTCTTATTTATATATATTTTTTCTGAACGGAATATTGAAAGGCGTGTAAAACTGTGCTTTACTGTATTTTCTCTTTTAATATAGTATGCAGTTTTCAAACTCATCGTAGTCTGGGTTACAAAGTATTCTTCCGTAAGAAACGCAGTTCAAATAAATAAAATCAAATTCTGGAAAATTGATATTAATAAATATATTTAAAATGCTCAGTTCGAAGGAAATAAATAGAAAATTTTAAAACAATTATCTGAAGAGACAATGCAATACAAACAATTAAAATAAAAGAATAAACATTTTAAAATTACCTAAAATAATAACTACGACAAAATATATATATAAAGAAAAGTATTTGAAAACAAAAAATGAACGCTGCACCTTTATTTACGCAGTTCGAATAGGTAAATAGAAATTTTAAAACAGTTATTCGAAAAAAAAAACTGCAACTTAAAACAATTAAAATGAAATTTGAAAAAAAAAAATTACTTAAAATAATAAGTTATAATTAAAAATATAATATAAAGAATATTATTTGGAAAAAAGGAACGATGGTGACTTTTTTTTCCTCTCACGGGGAAAGGAAACTAGGTTTGCCATATATTAAGAAGTTCGCCAAGTGAAGTATTCTTGGCCGCAAACTGACAAAAAAGTGCCAACATAAATTTGTGAATTTCTCCATAAATTTCGCTCCAAATTTTACAAAATTTCATATTTAGGCATAATTTGAGTCGTAGAAGAATCGAAATATGTAAAAAAATTGGTATGTTATTTCAGAAAAAAGTTCGATTTTGTGTCAAAATACCTATGTTAGAATAGTGCTAATATAAATCTAATATATATCCTAAGTCGCGCTTTCGAGACATGAAGAACGCAATTTGAATTTTGTCAATCGGCCCAGTAGATCGGGAGATATAGGACTGTCCCATTTTTTTTTTTTTTTTTTTTTTTTTTTTTTTAGCAGTGTACATACACACATACATAATGGTGACTAGAAGATTTTTCTTAAACAACCTGTTCATAGACTCTAAACAGTTACCTAACCAGCAATTTCATATTGCCTTTACTGGTTGAAAATTTTGTAAATTATTTCACAATCATACAACATTTCCTCAATATTTTTTATTATATGAGTATCAACTATGCTGGTCATTATTATTGTAATACACAGTATCTCAAAAGGTATTTTTGATTAGATTTTCCAAATTTGACATACAATCATTATTTTAGTATTGAATGAAACATTATGCTTCTGATTTGGCAAAATATAAAATAGTAATTATTATTAATGTAAATACAAAAAGAAACATTCCAATTTCCTATTAACTTTAGATGCTTTAAGTTTATTATTAATGCAAATCATATAACTAAGTACTTTTAGCTAATTATAAGGATTTATTAACTAAGTAGTATGCATACCTTCCAATATCAAAGTAAACAAAGACAATTTTAGAAATAAATCCTTACTAAGCAAAACTTTAAAATCCACAGAAATATAAAAAAATCAATAATTACATGTGTTATAACAAATACTACTGAACTTTACTTCCTTTATATGAATTTTAAACTAGTATCACTCACTAAGAAAATTAGGGACTACAACTTTTCTGGAGAATTGCGCAGTGTACAGGAAAATTAACTCTAGCTGCGGTTGTGAACAACAATTATGACAAAAATCTGGATACTGATAGCTGATTGTTAGAAATGTGTAATGTGCAACTTTCTCCACATGGGAGTGGGGAGAAAGATACATATCTATCTTTTAATGATAAAACCAGCAGAAAAATTATTTCAAAGGGTTGGCAGTCCCATATAGTTTTTGTTTACAAACTATGACATCTTTAAGATGAATAGAAAAACAAACTATAAGATATTTTTTGTTATCCAGAGTTAAGAATATACTGTTTTCATAAAATTTTGAAGTTATTCCTATAAAATTTCCTTCTAAGACCATTTTTGAACATTGCAATGCTGTAAATTATTCATAATATCTACTGATAAATTTTATTCATCCAAAACACTGACCATTTTTATGTAGCCTTACATTAAATAACTCATGTAATTTATTACTAATTTAGCTAAATATGTTTCATAAAATCAAAAATAGAAATCCTTTTAAAAATAAAAATATATGATGAAATATTTTTCAATAATTCTGCAAATATTATTAGCATAGCAGAAAGTTTAAAGTTTTAGTAAACATTTTTTAATTCTTCATTCTGACTGCTACTGAAGTACTACTTTAATACATAATTTACTTCAGCTAAGTCAATGAATTATAAAAATTGTTTATTATTATAATTTTATCCAATACAACATGTGATATAATAAAAATTACTGTCAGACAAACATACCTGGAATATAAATGTTTCCTTGAAAAGTGGATTTGGTTGACCTCTACGTACAGATGTTTTACTTCGAGCAATTTCTTGTCCATTAGAAGACACCAGTGACAATTTTACATATGTATCTAAGCATAAAAGCCCAAGTATAAGGCATACAAAATATATAATAGGAGCATCCTGAATAATATAATGCTAGGATTTTAAACATATAATTTAACTACATGTTCAATAAAACAAGAGCTTGTTCAAATATAAAAGACAATCTAATACCTGGTGCTCTGTTCATGGAAACATTACGAAAGTGGCTGCCCTTGTTGATCTCAACAGAAAGACGACCAGTTGTACCATTGTATGCTAAACCAAGTAACAATTCAGGTAAGCCACCATGCTGCATAGACTGCGTTGAACCAGTACTATCACTTCTAGCAAGACTTGTTATATCCGCTTTAGAATCAGAATGCTGAGGGGGAAAGAAAATTATCATAATATAAATTACTAATCAAACAAAAAAGATTATAAAAGCAAAACAATATTAAAATAAAAAAAATATTTTTTAAAGTTAAGAGATTTTTCAGTTGTATTTCTAATTTCAAAGTATATTCATAGTATTTGCAATGATAACACAATTTTTGCTAATAACACAATTTATAAAATATAATGGCCAGCAGATGTTCCAAGTTGTAGCAGTTTTTGAAACCCATAATGAATTTTAACAGTAACCCTAAAGCTTTAATAATTTAGAATTTGAAAATTCTAATTTGCACTGCATTTTTTTTTATTTTGATTTACTCCCCTCTTTATTGTTTTCATACATGTTTTAAATGATATGTGCTTTCACATATGAAATATATATATAAGTTAATATATATATATATATATATATATATATATATATGCAGAACACTAATATAAAACTGATAATTAAGATTCAGTTAAATTATTATAATCAATATTTCGCTGACACCAGTTCCATTACAAGAATTATACAACTATTCTGAGAATTATTTACAGTTCTTCACATAATTAAGACCTATGCCACATAACTAATGCTCAGGGACTTAAAAAAACATTATTTTAATATTTTCCTATGTTTAACTTTCAATAACAAAGCCTGGAAGCAAGTGAATTACATGATGAATTCTGCCTTAAGGAAATTATAGCTAGATTGGGTTGCAAGCACAGACTTTGAACACTTTGGCTCTTAGACTTTTCTTGTTATCTTTAATATTGTGTCTCTAGATAAAACCATGGGATAAGAAGCTAACATTGAAAATGTGAAAATAATACTAGAGTATCATAAAAATGAGCTCAACACGATAGAATTAAAAAATTTCAGATTCATCAACAAAAGGCAACTTTGGAAAAAATGTCTAAAAATGACCCTAATCCTAGTCTCCACAAGATATGTACAAAACTGGATCAGATGCAAAGTTTTCATATAGAGATTTCATCCTGATAAAGCAATAGCAAGCATAAGAATTTTCAATAACAATACTATGTTTCAATTCAGAAACATTTTAAAACATGTGAAACAACACCACATTGGGCAAATTTTTAAGAAAAAAGGCACAATGAGTCTCAAGCAGTGTCAAGGGTTCTTAGAGATAAAGAAATTTTTTTTTTTTTTTTTTTTTTTTTTTTTTTTTTTTTTTCAAAAATGTCTTTTTAAGACAGTAACCTGTCTTTATGTAAGAGAATTTTGCATCCAAACAATAACTTTTTTTTAAAATAATTTTCCACTCAAACCATCCATTTCCTTTGTACATGTATGGTAATTTTTTTTTCCCTATTTAATCTCTAATATTATGCTTGTTTTTTTAAAAATATTTTTATTGATTTTAAATTGTGAAAATGTATATAAAATACTGTTGTAAAGTCTTAAAAAACAACTGTCTATGGACCAAGATCTAATTAAACCAATTGACATTGCTTTCTATGAAGAAAACTGTTTAGCTTATGTTTTGGAAACATTTTGGTTAATGAAATAAACTAAGTTCAGTGTTTCATCAACATTGACTGGAAAAAAAAAAAATTATGCTTTCTATTTTTTGTACTGTGAGAAAACAACAGAAATAAAGAAAAAAAAAGTGCTGAATGCATATATATTAACCAGATAAAATATTTTGAAAATATTACATAGATTGCAAATAATCAGCACAATTATGGTGTATTTACTCCAACTGTTTATTTGTAATTATATAAAGGAAGAGTAGTTTACAATAGGTTCATATACATATATATATGTATATATATAATTCATAAAATTGTTGATTATTAAACCCAGATTATTTATAGAACTAAATGAGTATGAAAAAACTATTGCAAATTTATCTAAGTAAAAAAAAAAAAATTACTGATAATTAAGTTCAAATAGCATAAAATAAAATGAATAAAGGAAAAGTAACAATTAATTACTGATGATTCAATGAAAGAATCTTCAGAGGATATCAGCCTTTTTTCACTAGACCTTTCAATAATTAGGTAATAATGATTTAACATTTCTGTCTTTCTACACCATTTGAGAAAACTTTTTACAAAAAATTTAGCCAGAAATGTCCTTAAGAATTATTTTATATTTTTAAGTAATATTTCAGAAAAATAGAGTATTACAGTAAGCAAAATTTGATATTACTTATTGTTTATTTTGTATTTAATTGTAACAATGACATGTGTTTTATCTAGATTTTTCACTTGTATTTCACTGAGGCCTTGCTAGTATTTTATTTACTTTATTCTTATTAATTATTACTTAATATTAACAATTTTTCAATTTGGAAGACTAGATTTGATGTAGTAGTACTCTTCTGAGCTATTTGAGAATTAATTATACATATATAAAATTTTCATACATATAAATTTTTTTAAATGTTCTCTCAAATGATTTAGAAAGGTAGAAACATTAAATCAGTACAGTCAAAAGTCGTTAATTTGGACACCCATAATCCGGAATGATCTATAATCCGGACTTCAAAGCTACAAACTTTCTGCGCATGCATCGCGTTGAAAAAGCGTAAAAAAGACCTTTAACGCTGCGAATTTGCATGTGCGCGTGCGCAAAGTACGTTTACGAACGCGCGTTTAATGTATAACGGACGGGATAAGCTAAGCTAAAATTATCTAATTATCTATTTCAGTTAATGTTGCAGATTGCGTTGTTCCTTAATCTTTGAATTGGATCCGGATTATTCTTTTTTGCAGACTGTTAGAGCAATTTTATAAAAGTAAGCTTGAACTTTCGATTATGTCAAATAGAATTTCCGGTATATATTTACTAATATGTAAAGGATATACAAAGCGAAAGTATCTTTCAGAGTCCATTAAACAAAAAGTGGAATTGCTGCAAAAAATGGATAAAGGCATATCCTTTGTTTATCTAAACTTTAACGTTTGTTTATCTTTAACGTTGCGGCGGCGTGCATTGAATTGGAAGTTGATCTGTCAGCACTATCCTTATCTTAACGGCAGATGTTTTTATTTTATTTGGCTTATAATTGCTTACTCAATGTAGTATCTCATCTTGTCTTTGATATGATTTAAATCAAATGCCTCATCATTATAATTCGCTTCCGATAGCAAAGAAAGTAACAGAGGTTATTGAAAATGAAAAAATTTCGATTGACAAATTAGTCGGTATTCTCGACCCAGCAATTATAGGACTTGAACAGCGGAACTTTGTAACTGAAGAAGAAATTATGTCTGTTTATAGAATTAAAGAGAATGTATTATAATATAAAAAACGAAGCAACTTAAACAACTTACATTGAAAGAAATGTTTAATAAAGTAAACAAATAAATATTAAGCTTTTACTTTGTAAATTTTGATACCCTTTAGATCATAATTGTTCTTTATTTCGTAAAATTACGGTTTTTCATATTTTTAATTTTATAATTTTTGCATGCCATTTTACCAGATTTAAACTGATGATCTATAATCCAGAAAAATCGATAATCCGGAATCGCCGAAGTCCCGACGAGTCCGGATTAACGACTTTTGACTGTATTACCTCATTATTGAAAGGTCTAATGAAAAAGGTTTATACCTCCCTCATAATGTCAGCCTTGTTTCTTTGAATAATCAGTAATTAATTATTTTTCTTTATAAGATATACTTTATATTAAGTTAATAAAATGACTTTCTATGTTAAAAATGCCAAAAAGCTAAAAAGATATTGTTTTTATGCTATTAATTAATATAACTATCTCGGATATTAATTTTTGCACAATTTCATCCCTTGTTTTCTTTCTTAGTTTAAATCAATGTCTTGGTATCTTAGATTTTTACTTTTATGTAGTTCATGTTTTAATTAACTTGGCAAAATTCGGATCTTATTGCTGATGAGTTGGATCTAACAATACTTTTAAACTTAATTACAAATCATTTAATGCTAGATAATCATCTCTAATTATTAATTAGTATATTAATTTACATATAAAAATATGTATTTTGTTTTTTATTATTGTCTCTAATTAGAAATTTGATTACTTTGAAAACCTTCAATGCATGGTAAAAAAAAAAAAAATAATAATTATTATTTCAAACAAAAAGAAAACCTAAAATTACTCATAATTGCACAACAGCAATGCATAACACTAAAAATTAAGCAATTCAAAATACTGAGTATTGCTTTAATGGAGAGGCAAAAATGAGGACAGAAGTAAAAGCTCATATAAGTTCAAATTTCAAATAGTTCAAATACGTAAAATGAAGTCTTACTGCTATGTTTGCACGAGGCTCAAGTGTCAACCATAAAGTTATTTGCTGATCCATACGAATTGATGAAAAAGGAACCATGCATTCACCAATTAGGTGTTCTCGTCTCATGCGCTCACAACCATTTAGTCGAAATCTTACACCCATACTATTTAATTCCTCTGTATTAAAAAAATCATAATACACATAAATATATTTTAAGACCTAAACATGAAATATTATCTTATTAATTCTTTCAAAGAAGACTTTCATTATTTTGATAAAATAGTTGATATTTTGCTATATACATTCTACCACTTGTGAATTATATAAAAACTTTTAATTACATGGAAATGCACATTTACTAGAAAATAAAAATATCAAAATGTTAAATTTTCACACGGTTACAACTGATAGAATATTTAATCAATAATAAGCAGGTGATTTATTTGTGACATATTTTACAAGTACACATTTATGTATATTTCTCTTGCACAATTCTGGTATGTAATAGGTACAAATTATATACAGTCAAAAGTCGTTAATCCGGACTCATCGGGACTTCAGCAATTCCGGATTATAGATCATCAGTTTAAATCTGGTAAGATGGCATGCAGAAATTATAAAATTAAAAATATGAAATTGTAATTTATGAAATAAAGAACAATTATGATCTAAAGGGTATCAAAATTTACAAAAAAAAAAAAAAAAAAAAAATTAATATTTATTTGTTTACTTTATTAAACATTTCTTTCAATGTAAGTTGTTTAAGTTGCTTTGTTTTATGTGATAATACTTTCTCTTTAATTCTATAAACAGACATAATTTTTTGTTCAAATACAAAGTTCCGCTGTTCAAGTCCTATTATTGCTGTGTCGAGAATACCGACTAATTTGTCAATCGAAATTTTTTTGTTTTCAATAACCTCTGTATCACTTTCTTCTTTATCGGAAGCGAATTATAATGACGAGGATGGAGTACATCGAGATGAAATACTACATTTAGTAAGGAATTATAAGCGAAATAAAATAAAAATATCTGCCCTGAAGATAAGGATAGTGCTGACAGATTAACTTCCAATTTATTACGCGCCGCGGCGTTTCGTCGTTTTCCCCCCTGCGCCGCAGAGCAGGGTGAAATTGATAAACAGATTTCGGAATGGTTTGAGAAACGAAGGATATGCCTTTATCCATTTTTTGCAGCAATTCCACTTTTTTTAATGGACTTCTAAACATATTTTCGCTTTGTAGATCCTTTACATATTAGTAAATACATATCCGAAATTCTATTTGACATAATCGAAAGTTCAAGCTTACTTTTATAAAATTGCTCTAACAGTCTGCAAAAAATAATAAGCCGGATCCAATTCGAAGATTCAGGAACAACGCAATCTGCAACATTACCTGAATTAGATAATTTTAGCTTAGCTTATACCATCCGTTATACATTAAACGCATAAGCGTAAACGTATTACGCACATGCATATTCGCAGCCGTAAAAGTCTTAGCACGTAGTTTCAAAGAGACGCATGCGCAGGAAGTTTGTAGTTTGAGGTCCGGATTATGGGTGTCTGAATTAACGACTTTCGACTGTATTCTCCAAACAAAGAGATTTGCATAGAAATTATTTGTTTTAGATTAAAAAATAATTCTTTTCTTTAGCTGAAACTTGTGTAATATTTTTAATTAATGATAATATATTTTAAAAATTCTAACAGCACATAGAATATATCATAGCATATATATGTACAGCACATAGTACATATATCTTCAAACTTTAAATTTTTTTTAAAAATATTAATCACTGAAATTACCATTTGATACAAATCTTACTCTATTATAATAGACTACAATCTACAATGTATCTTAAAAGATTTCATGCTCTAGAGGAAATAACACAATAAACTATATAATCTTAGCTAATTTATAGTCATTATAGATATTTAAAGCCGAGAATAAACTTTTAAACTGCAGACATTTTATGTAATAAAATATGTGACAACTTATTATGTAATCAAGTGGTATACATTGCACAATACAGTCAACCCTTGTCAAACATGGACTTGTGGAATGTGATTTTGCATATGCACGTTATCTTAACTGTCTCCATTTAATTTGTCCAGTGAGAAAATTTCAATCATTCAATTTATGCTGCAGTGTAAAATTCTTCTTTAATGACTGGTTTCAAAATTCATTCATTTCTATGTTAAAAATGCCAAAAAGCTGAAAAGATATTGTTTTTATGTTATTAATTATCATAACTATCTCTAATTATTAATTATTTAATATTAGATAATAATCTCCATTTATTAATTAGTATATTAATTTACTATAAAATTATGTATTTTGTTTTTTATTATTGTCTCTAATTAAAAATTTGAGTGAATCTTTACATTATGGTAATTTGGCGGTTTTTTGGCAAAAATTTGGCGAGCAACCCTGCTTTTTTTTTTTTTTTTTTTTTTTTTTTTTTTTTTAACTCAACATTTTTTCCAACAATCTGCTAGCTGAATTACGCTTATACTAGAACTTTTATGGAACAAAAATGCTTAATCATGACGAAGATTAGGTGCGAAATTGGGAGAAGTGCAAAATCGCAAACTGCTTGCCGCGTTTTTAAGAATTGCACATACACAATATCCATGTACATGTCGATCTATTTTCACTTAAAAAAACATCCCAGAATTGCACAAAAATAGCATTGTGCCCACTCTTGACTTTATCTATGTACACATCGACCTATTTTCACTTAAAAAGTCAAAGAAAATTGACAAAAATCCAATTCTTCTTACTCTTGTAAAAAGCATCAAACAAATAAGTGGGCAATTCTGCGCTTTAGCAGCGAAATTGTTTCTAAGTGCTTATTAGCTAAAATCATGATCAGAATTTTCCGGAAAATGTCACATTACATGTCTCATAATCTCTCATTTCTCTGAGACAAAATAATCTGTGATTCAAACTGTGTACTTCTCAGGTTATTGCTAAAGTCCTAGCTAGTAACCTTTATCGCCTTACCAAAATGTCACCAAACTACCTGTTACCATATTCTAAAGATTAGCCAAGATTTTATTACTTTGGAAACCTTCAATGCACGGTACCCATTTAACAAGCTAACGTAAAAAAAAAAAAAAAAAAAAAAAAAAAACTCTGATTTAAATCTTAAAAATCTTTTTTCTTTCTTTAGAAGTCAAACATTGCTTAAAACAACAAAACCTGAGCTTTTAAAACTCTCTTAATTCTCAATAATGCTCCAGCACATGGCTTCACCATCACAACATTGCATCCAAATATAGACGTTTTATTCCTGCCACTGAACAGCACTTTCTTCATCTAATTAATGGATCAAGGAATCACAAAAACATTCAAAGTCTACTTACAGGCAAGCTTACATCTCTGCAAATAAAGGAAAGCATGACACACTAATGGCATTTTGGAAGCAATTCAACATAAGATACTGCTAGAAATAATTACAACTCACTTGAGAACAAGTGAATGCATCAACGAGTGCTTGATGGCATCAGTTCTGATCCAAAATTATCAACAATTTTAATGGATTTTCACTGACTGAAAATGAAGCCAAGAAAATCATACAAATTGCAAAAGCAATAGGCAGCAAAGATTTTTTTATATGGAAGATGGAGATACCAAAGAATTAGTCAATAATAATGACTATGAAATGACAAATGAAGTATATGATCTTATAACACCAGCAGACAATAAAAGCAGCATTAGTGCAGACTGTAAAGGGCCTTTAACATACAAGAAGTTAAATAAAATTGTTAAAAGAGGCACAGTAATTCTCTGATTTTGTAAGAGAGATTAACCCAAATGAAGAAGAGGAGGATACTTTCTGACAGGTACTGAAAAACTTTGCATTTCTTACCATGAAACATTTAATGAGTTTCATCAGACATCCTCCCAAGCAAAAATGATCAGCTGTTTAAAATAATAATTTTATCATGTACCTACTTAATTCAGTAGTAATAGAAATCCTTTCAATTAACATTTGTTCCATTTTCCCCATTTAATGATGATAATACTTAGATTTGTATAAATTACAAATATTTTTTTTTAAATCTGAAATATATCTAACCTGTTTTTTCCAAAGAAAGTTTACTTTGCATTTTTGCAGTATGTGTAATGTGTAAATGATGTAATCCCTGCATTTGGCAAGGGTTTACTGTGCCTGTATTACTAACATAAAAGCATCTTGCGAGTTCGCAAAATAACATCTTAAGACATAACCGTATATATAATTTCAGATATTAAACTACATTATAAAGACACAAAAATCAATTATAATATTATCTAGTATCTATGAGTTAAGTTTAAAATGTATTTTTAAACAATGAAATTAATGTATCAAATACTAAATTTTTCAAATACAGAAATAATTATATAAATGATGATAATAGACATATAATGCAGTTATAAAAATTACACAACAGCATGCAACATACCTGGTGATATTCGGTTGAAAATAAAACTTTCATTAAACTGTGGTTTACTGCCAGTTCTAATTTTTGTTTTAAACTTCTGCCTTTTATGAGGAAGAAGAAGTAATCTCACCTACAATTATTAAATTCTAAATGTAATATAAAATTCTAAAACAACTTTTTTAACAGAATATTTTTAAAATTTAAATGTACTAAGATATATAAAAGAAACTATTTAAATTTTTGCAAATAAATTTTCCTTGAATATTCAAATTAGCAATGCCTATCATAAATAGTCAAATATATCTTTCATTTAATTCGTCTTGCAATTTTAACAATACTTGCTTTCAATGACACAATTTTTAGATCCACTCTGCATTTGAAAACTTAATTTTTTTACAATTATTGATTATAAATCAGAGACATTGCGTTGCTACTACTACATTTTTCACGTATGAATGCATCCATTCACTAAAAAGTATGCATTCCAAGTCCTCTGCGATATTTTGAACTTAATGTATGTAAAAGTTTTGTATGATTTAGTTAAAATTAAATATATGTACCCTATGTTATATATTTTGGCTAGATGACTAGTTACCATTTGGCTAGAGGGTGCTACCTGTGCTCAAGTAGTCAGTGGCAAGCAAGAAGCTACGAGTATATAATACAGAAGGCTGAGATAGCCTAATAATATGCCTTCAATTATTTGTTAATGTTAATAAATGTTTATTGTTGTTATTTGATGGAACATTTTTGCATCATTAGCCACACTGAATCATCAGATGCAATACTGGGTATATCCACACCAAGAATTGGCATATCGAAAGTAACTGGCTGTTATTGGATACTTAATTCTGAGAAGAATAAAGTTTGGGTAATTTATAAATTTCTATATTCCAGACTGCGGACGCAAGGTCTCTCTGAACTTCCAAATACTCAGTATGGATAATTTTTCAAAAATAGCTCGATGAAAAGATAATTAATGTTCATAATACTTTTACTAAACTTGTTACAAGAGCTCAAAAGCTCGATGAAGCTGCCACAGGCTTTAATTCATTATCAGAGTTACTGGAACTTTTATATATAAAAGAACAGATTTTGAGAAAGATATACTCATAAATGATCCAGGAAAAATTTGAAGTGAATTAAAAAGTTCTGAAGAATGTAATTACAAAATACTGTCTGCTACATTAAACTAAAGAGCAAAATTAATATTCAGTGGACTCCTTCAGTTATCAATACATCTAGTATTTTGAAAAACACCATTACAGCTTTAATATTACCAAAGTTAGAAATTTTGCAATTTCTAGCAATTTTATGGAATTCCTAAATTGTTTTGATAGTGCAATCAGTTCCAATAATTCTCTCCTAAAAATTGAAAAACTCTAATATTTACAACCCTTCTTTCTGGCTCTGTGCATAATTTTGTCCTTGGTTTCAAATTAAATGAGAAAAACTATGATTCAGGTCTTGAAATCTTAAAACAAAGATATGGTAGAACTGATTATATTACAAATTCCTAGATGACAAAATTATTTAACTTAGAGCCCAAGAAAAGTTCTTATATGTTAAAGGTTTACATAAATTATACAATTAAACAGAAGAAATTTATGTTCATTAAATGTTACAGAGAGCTCGTTTGGGCATTTATCAAATTCAATATTAATGAAGCGGTTACTACATGATTCAGTTTTAAGATTTTAACAAAAATCGAAACAGAGAAGTGAACTGTGAGGTTTGAAAAATTATCACTTTTTAAGAAATGAAGTGGAATCAAAGGAAATTACCAAAACTATGGCGAGTCATCTCCAAAAAAGTTATAAAATGAAAAGATCTTTTCTCAAAATTATTAAACTTATCATTAAAAACTATTTAAAGCCCAAAAATATACCAACCACTCCTGCATTAAACACACAAATAAAAAATGCTTATTTATCCTATGATGGTGATCATGATTCCATAAATTTCAGACTCACAGGTAGAACAAACAATAAATAAGCTTAAAATTACTAATTGTAGGTATTGGTGTTGTTTTATAAAAGTATCCTGTGTTCCGGGACTTCAAAGCAAAGTTGCTTCATCACCAGCCAGTCTGTAGAGAAAATAAACCTGTTAATCTAACAATGAAAAGTTTTGAAAGTCAAAAAGTGAGACTGTTTCACATTCCAAATCTAATTTTAAAAAATTGGATAATTTTTCTGTGTCTCATAGTAACATTTGTACCAAAAATAAAGCCTTTTTACAAACATGTACAGTTTTAGTGCATTGAAATAAGAAATTGGTTAGAACTAGTCTCATTTAAAATAAAGCTTTAAGGATTTAAGATAAAGCTTCATGTCATCTCAACTGATAAAAGAATTAAACTTAAAGCCATTCTATTCATATTTTTGCTCCCAGACAGAAAACAGCATGTGAGAAGGAATATGAAACTGTTTCATTGACACGGGGCAAAAAGGATCAAAGTTCGCAACTGTAAATATTAGAAGCACTTATAATGGAATACAGTCAAAAGTCGTTAATCCGGACTCGTCGGGACTTCGGCGATTCCGGATTATAGATCATCATTTTAAATCTGGTAAGATGGCATGCAGAAATTACTAAAATTTAAAAAATATGAAAAACCGTTAATTTATGAAATAAAGAACAATTATGATCTAAAGGGTTATCAAAATTTACAAAAGAAAAAAGCTTAATATTTATTTTGTTTACTTTATTAAACATTTCTTTCAATGTAAGTTGTTTAAGTTTTGTTTCGTTTCATGTGATAATACTTTCTCTTTAATTCTATTAAACAGACATAATTTCTTGTTCAGTTACAAAGTTCCGCTGTTCAAGTCCTATAATTGCTGTGTCGAGAACACCGACTAATTTGTCAATCAAAATTTTTTGTTTTCAATAACCTCTGTCACTTTTCTCTTGACTATCGGAAGCGAATTATAATGAATGAGGAACTTGTTTTAAATCATATCAAAGACGGAGTACATCGAGATGAAATACTACATTTGGTAAAGAATTATAAGCCAAATAAAATAAAAAACATCTGCCTTGAAGATAAGGATAGTGCTGACAGATCAACTTCCAATTCATGCACGCCGCGCATTCCCCCCCCCTTCCCCCCGTTCCCCCGCGAGCTCGTGAAATTGATAAACAGATTTTCGGATTTCGAAACATACTTTCGCTTTAGATCCTTTACATATTAGCAACTATATATCGGAAATTCTATTTGATATAATCGAAAGTTTAAGCTTACTTTTATAAAATTGCTCTTACAGTCTGCAAAAAATAATAAGCCGGATCCAATTCGAAAGATTAAGAAACAACGCAATCTGCAACATTAACTGAATTAGATAATTTTAGCTTAGCTTATACCGACCGTTATACATTAAATGCGCATGCGTAAACGTTTTATGCGCACACGCACATGCATATTCGCAGCCGTAAAGGTCTTACGCGCATATGTAAACACCTATGCGCATACGTCAAAGTTTGTAGCTTTGAGGTCCGGATTATGGGTGTCCGAATTAACGACTTTTGATTGTATATATCTAATTAGCCTTTGAAAATTCCAGATGTGTCTGTTCACAGTGCATTGAAAGAAAAAGGATTAAATTTGGCTGACTCATATTTTGGCAATTGTCAAACCAAAATTCTAAAAAGATGCAATGTTTTGGGACATTCTTTATGACAAATATGCAATTAATTTTTGTTTTAGCCGATTTCTGTCAGTAGTGAAAGGAAGTAATATATTGGCTGATAATTATGCAACTGTATGTTTAATTATGGCTTCTTCTTCTATCTTGTACGATTTGCAAATTTTTTGAAGAGGTATAAGAATTTCAATTTAAAAAAAATTTTTTTTTGAAAAGAAAAATCAGCTAATTTAAAAATATGAAAATTCTCTGCAATTCAATGGGTATGCTTGTTGACTGATGTGGAAAGAAAACATGGAACCCAGAGTGGGTTTAATTATGAGGTTTTGAAAAGCTGTTTTGATTCTTTAAGCCACAAACTAAATAAAAAGCAGAGAATTTATGACAATATAAACAAATTATATAAGATCAATTAAAATGTCAGTTTGTAGAGAAATGTGTTAATGAGGATAAAAGTTCGGGATATATATGGCCCGCAGAGTGGTAATTAGGGACGACAAGGAAGCAACTTGAGTTAGAATTGTTTTTGACTGTAGCAGCAAGGTAAATGAAAATAATAAATCTTTAAAAGAGGCCCTAGAATCATCAGTTGATCTTGATGTGCATTTATTGGACATAATTCTTAAATTTCAGAAAACCCAAGTTGCAAGATTTAGAGAAATGTTTCATTCTGATAGAAATTGGGGAGGAAAATAGAAAATATCTTAAATTTTTATATCTGGAAGGAATGGGTGATTCAATCCAAATTCTTCATTTAAATCCTCTCTCATTTGGTTTAATGACTTTACCATTTTCTCCAGCTCATATTTTGAAATTTCATGTTAAGAAATTTAAAGAGTATCACCTAAAATGTTAAATTCTTTTTGCCATGTTGATTATCTATGTTACTGAGCCAATACAACTCAGAATCCATATCATTTTGCCTTTATTGCAAAAGATATACAGATAACACCACAATTTCAGTTGAGGAAATTAATAACTAATAGTCCAAAACTGCATGAACTTTATAGTCCAAAACTGCATGAAGTGAAAACAGATATGAGGAAAACACTGGTTTCGAGCAAGGGACATGTTTCTTGAAACTGAAGTGGAATCTGATCAAAAATAAAATAAAATTAGATTTTAGAGATGTTACATATCCCATTTATGCTAGAATCACCAAGGAACGTGTATTGAGAGTTATTTCAAAGATATTTGATCCATGCGGAATGCTTAGTACCTTTGTAATCATAGTTCCTACAAGAGGTATACTTGGTGTTCTGAACTTTGTGAACTTGAATCAGTATCTATTGAAAGAAAAGTTTTTAAACGTGCAAAAATAAATGAAGTTTCTCTTCACATGTTTGATGATACCAATCCAAAGACATATAAAGAATGCTATGCTCCTAAGGTATGTAAGTTGTAATGACCAAATTAAAGTGAACTTTATCATGTCAAAAAGCAATATTGCTCTGTTAAAAACCATTAATTCTTGCAAGATTACACTTTATGCAGCACTCCTCACTGCACAGTTACAAAATTATTTACAAGGACTTTTTCCTGATTTCACTTTCAGTTCTTTGTGTTGGTCAGGACTTGCCTGCTTGTCTTGGCCTAAGCAGGAAATACTACATATTCTTGATGGCATTTGTGACAAAGACTTTAGTGACGGAGAGAGAGTGTGTGCCAGTTTATTCCACGATAACTAATTCAGGTGGCAGGAACTTACTTCTGCCATTACTGGATATTAATTGCTTCAGTGTATTAAGTAGACTATTGCTCATTACAGCATGGTTTAAAAGATTTGCACACAATTCAAAACCCGATTCTTCAGAATTAAATGGACCTATATGTGCTTCAGAACTCAAAGAAGTTTAATTACTTTGAACTCAAGAAAGCTTTGTTTGGATTAAAGCTACTCAATTCAAACATTAACTTCAGAGAGACGTTGTACTGAGACAAGGGTTCATGAGCACTTAATTTAAATCCTGAACATGGTTACAATAATTTACTTTGTTTGAAGGGATATTTACAACATACCTTCAAACGTAAACACAGTTTACTTTGCTTCAAGTAATCAGTAGATAGAAGCATGTTTGGCTTCTTCCATCTAATGACAAATTTTTTTAGCTACTCAACTCATGATCCATCCTCATACTAAAATAGGTCATTCTGATGTTGAAGCAATTTTAATGCACTTACAGGAACAATCCTGGATTGTCAACAGTTATCAAATCGTTAAAAAAGTACTAAATAACATTGTGGTTTATAGGCACTTTGAAGTGAAACCTGGAACACTGGTGATTGCTCCATTACCACTTGACAAAACTGAAGAACATCTACTATTTGATATCTGTGATGTAGATTTTGACAAACCATATTTTTGCATGTCATTTTAGTACAAAAAGTTATTTATTCAATCTCAGTTTTACAGTGATGAGAACAATTCACTCAGTTCTCAACATGAGTATTGATTCTTTTTCGTTATGTTTCAGACAATTCATTTCTCATCATGGATTATGTTCTGCATTGCATTCTGATAATACTATAACTTTGAAAATGGCTAACTATGAACTGAAAAAATAGTGAAGACAGATTAATAAGCCTGAAGATAAAAATATGCCTGTTTCCAAAGCTATAATTAGGAATTTTACAGTTGGAAAAAGTCCACAAATGTTTCTGGGAAAGACAGATATAAATAAGTAAAACTTGCTTAAAGAAAATTGTAGGACAATTCTCTCTTTCGCTGAAAGAATTGGAAATTGTTTTCTTAGAGATTAAGTTATGGTTAATTCCAGGCCTATCACGTATTTGTAAAACGAACCCTCTCCACTCACCCCATCTCATTTTATCATAGATAAAAGCTCGATGTCTCTACTTGTAACAAAACATAAAACTGAAGATTTGAATGTAAATAAAAATCCTTTTGTGAAAAACTATAAATATCATCAAACTCTTTTGAATCACTTTTGAAAGAGTTGGAGAAAGGAGTATTTACTTAATCTGAAATCAGCCTATATTTCTTTATAACCAAGCAGAATAGTTTCACTTAAAGTGAATGATTCTGTTTTGATTAATGATGAGCATTCTCCCAGAAATATGTGGATGATGAGAAAGATTTTAGAACTGCACTTAGGGTGAGATACAAAAATTCGTTCTCTTCTTATAAAATCTCCTAAAGGAAACATAAAAATGTTTAATACAGTTTGCTTATAATTTAAAATTATTCCTTAATCATGTGGGTTTAATTTTAAATGTAAAACCGTTAATTTTCTTGTTATCTATTAATATTTTTATCTTTTCATTATATTATTTATTATTATACAGTCCAAAGTCGTTAATTCGGACGCCCATAATCCGGAATGATCTATAATCCAGACCTCAAAGCTACAAACTTTCTGCGCATGCGTCGCGTTGACGCATGCGCGTAAGAAATTTACGGCTGCGAATTTGCGTGTGCGCGTGCGCAAAATACGTTTACGAATGCGCGTTTAATGTATAACGGACGGTATAAGCTAAGCTAAGCTAAAATTATCTAATTATCTATTTCAGTTAATGTTGCAGATTGCGTTGTTCCTTAATCTTCGAATTGGATCCGGCTTATTATTTTTTGCACTGTTAGAGCAATTTTATAAAAGTAAGCTTGAACTTTCGATTATGTCAAATAGAATTTCCGATTTATATTTACTAATATGTAACGGATCTACAAAGAGAAAGTATGTTTCGGAGTCCATTAAACAAAAAGTGGAATTGCTGCAAAAAATGTATAAAGGCATATCCTTTGTTTATCTAAACTTAAACGTTTGTTTATCTAATCTTTAACGCGACTGTGGCGCGCAATGAATTGGAAGTTGATCTGTCAACACTATCCTTATCTTCAGGGCAGATGTTTTTATTTTATTTGGCTTATAATTGTTTACTAAATGTAGTATTTCATTTCGATGTACTCCGTCTTTGATATGATTTCAATCAAATGCCTCGTCATTATAATTCGCTTCCGATAGCGAAGAAACTAACAGAGGTTATTGAAAACGAAAAAATTTCGATTGACAAATTAGTCCGTATTCTCGACACAGCAATTATAGGACTTGAACAGCGGAACTGAACAAGAAATTATGTCTGTTTATAGAATTAAAGAGAATGTATTATCACATAAAAAACGAAGCAACTTAAACAACTTGCATTGAAAGAAATGTTTAATAAAGTGAACAAATATTAAGCTTTTTTTTTTTTTTTTTTTTTTTTTTTTTTTGTAAATTTTGATACACTTTAGATCATAATTGTTCTTTATTTCGTAAATTACGGTTTCATATTTTTAATTTTATAATTTCTGCATGCCATTCTACCAGATTTAAACTGATGATCTATAACCCGGAATCGCCGAAGTCCCGACGAGTCCGGATTAACGACTTTTGACTGTATTATCTATTAATTGCAGTTTTACATTTTTAAAGCTTGATATTTGAGGAATTTATTTAGAAATTTAAAAGTGTAATTTGTATTTGTTTATCATGTGATTGTGAAGCATTTTCGTGCTTAGAATTTTGATGTAATATTCTGTTTCATTTTTATATAAATTTAAATGGCTCCTGAATGCAAACGTTGTTGAAAAATCAATGGTAAGTGAAACTCATATAAGTTTAGGTGGTGCGTTATATATCTTTTGTACCACTCAGATAAAGGGTGCCAGTGATAGGAAAAGCCAAGACAACCTAATAATATGCCCCCAGTTAATTATTGTTACAGCTGTTATTAATAAATTTTGTTATGTTACTTGGAGAAACATTCTTGCACCAATACCTAAACTGAATCAACAGTTGCATTGCCCAAATGTAATTAATATTTTGTATAAATTTGTGCTTTTATAATGATTTTCAATTATGCGTATTGCATTAAAATGTTAAAGAAAAGTCTAAGGAAACCTTAATGTTAATGAACTGTAATGTTTACATTCGGCAACAAACCAAAAACAGAGACATTTATTATTTGTTTAAAAAAATAAAAAAAAATAATTAGAAATTTTTATAACCCTATAATACATTCCCTGAATCAATATTTTTAGAAGCCACTAGGAAAGATTTCAAACATATGTAAAATCTCTCAAAGTACCGGTAAATTTATTTAACAGCAACAATATGAGATTCTCTGAATTTAACAATAATTCACAAAAACCTCACATGTTAGGAAAAGATACTACTGCAACAAACAAAATAATTAACTTGTTCTTTTATATACTTCTACATAGATAATATTTCTACGAATATAATACTTCTAATAATTTAAATCTATGTAAACTATGCACATTAAGTTATTATTTCAGTGCATATAATGATATACATCTTTCTTCAAGGTTAATATTACAATGCAATCAATAAAATTTTAATTGACAGATGGTTATTACTATATAATTAATTTGCATTGTAATATTAATATACATTAATGAAAATCAACAAAATGATAATGGATTTTGCATAAGCTTAATTTTTGCTACTGTAAAAGTTTAATTTTCAAACATTTAATATGCTCTAGGGAAAGATGAAAAAATTACAGGATATAATTTTTGATTACAGGATATAATAAAAATATGACAAAATGCAAATAAAAAATGAAAAACTTATTATCTTGTATGGGTAACAAAACAAAAAAAAAATTATGAATTACCTTAAATCTAGATATAAAGCAAATTTTCACATAATAAATGCAACACTTATTAACTAAAAAGTGAAGGGAAAAAGAAAGACAATTTGCATAACTGTTATACAGGCTTCAACAAAAATTATGCGTGAAAGGCTGAAAATTATAAAGGAGCAGATTATGTAATTTAAGAATAAGAAAAAACATGATTTTATAAAACCAAATGCAATATTGAGAGTAATGATAAAATTGTATATCCTGGCTGATGCATTAAATATAACAATAGATGTTTTTAAATAGATAAAAGATATTTTTAGTGAAACATCATATTACCTGAACATGATTAGATCCACCACGATCTCTGTCAGGTAGATCTTGGGCTTGAAGAACATGTACAGTCATTTTCCTCAAAGGAGCATCATAAGCAAAACCCACTTCTAATGAACCACAACGTACGGCCGAACTAGTATCATGATCTTCAACGTTGCAGTGAAGTTCATTTACATCATAAATCTGATCCTAAATTTGCAGTTAAATGGAACTGTTAATGCATCAAAAACATTAATAATGGGCATATCAAAATATGTTGTTATAAACAATACTTGTACTTGTATGTACTGCTGTTTTTAAAAATCAGAACATCAAGAGAAAATATAATTACAAATTTAACTTTTTTAGGATATGTGAAAGAGGCAATATAATATAAATGATTAACACGTCAAACAAGTTGCATTACGTATATCAATATAAGCTTTGGGTCAAATTTTATCTTGTGCTGCTTGTATTACATGCTCTGGCATAGAATTAAACCAATTTTAATAATGTATGGTGAAACAGCTATCTAAGTTACTATTAATCACAAAAATTCATCAAGATTTGCTGAAGGACTGTCATAATACTGCAACACATTTCATTCCATCATATCTCATACATTTTTAATAGAAAACAGATCAGGCAATTTGGGTAGACAAGAAAGTGGGACATCACTAATTGTGAAGAAGGCTCATGTTGTTGCTACAGCATAAGTATATATTTTTCAAGTTGGCACTGTCCTGCTCGCCCTTGGGAGACAATGCAAATATCAAATGTTATTGATGTATCAAGCATCTGTAATAATGGCTTTAATTCTGATGACAGGTAATCTGCTGTTAAATCCTATAGTTGCTGTTAATTTAACCCCATATAAGAAGGTTCTTAATTAATGCAGTAAGATCAATAAAACTATAAGTGTCTCGGTATTTCTCACCCTGGCAGTGACAGATACATACACAACCCTAATGTGCACAGAAACAAAGCTACGATTCATTACAGAAGACAATAACATATCGCTCCGTCTGCTACACATACACTGCATATAAGTCTACTATAGTGGTATAGTTATTTTTTTATTGTTCAATACACCAGAGCAGTCTAGGAGTATTTCATTGAGGTATGAAAGATAATAAGAGAAATGGTTGATACATTGGTAATCCTGAGCATAATAAAGAGTGATGCTGTGACAAATGATTAGTTAATGTGCTATGTTCATCACTGTTGCATGGAAGTTCATCACTGTTGCATTCATCACTGTTCATCACTGTTGCATGACACAGAATGGTCAGACAGATACCTTGAAGAGATGACAATCTTCATTAAATGGGGTTTCAGCCTTCTCTTCTTATCACACACCATTCTTTGAACTTCTCTTCCACACATTTTAAATTACAGAACCATGCTACCTACTCACAGAAATAGTAGTAAGTTATTTCATGCCAATAATCCTTTCTCTGCCTACATTGTTAATGTGATTATACAGTTTGTGACATACAGGTATCTTCGCTCACTGCCAGATAAAGACTAAAATTTCTATCCTCCTATAACAAGCTCATAAAAGAATCTAGGCCTTTTTTTTTTACAAATGATATTTTTTTGCTCTGTTTTGCATAGCTCTGAATTTTTAAACCAGTCATGTTGAAATGATAATCATTTTAATATAGTTCACATATCCTGAAAAAATAAAAGCTGTAAGTGTATTCCTTTCTAGGTGTCCTGTCTTTTCAGAAACAGCAGTGTGTTACAGTTTTTCAAGTGGTACACATGCAATTTTGAATCTTCAATTAACATCCTCATACGTAAAGATAAATTTCCTAAGAAAAAGGAAATTTCTTTAAATGATGTTTTCAAAACTTAAAAATTTAACATGAAAAAATCTGGCTATTTTTTTCATCCTAGTTATGTAATTTGGGCATAGTTGTTTCTTTAATTCAAACTTTCACATATTGTGAACATATTGCTCTTTCACATATTGCTCTTCGTGAAGCATGTTTAATACACATAAAATGGGTTTTCTAAATATTTTCTAATATCTTTTATCATTAATTCTGAGACTGTCAAAAGTGAAATTTCAATGATGACAAAAGTCATTTTTCCTACACGATCCAAAGAAATGAAGATTCCAAAGAAAGTGTGATATAACTTTGTCGGTCATGTATTAATAATATGGGGATAGTTCAGAAAGTAACCATCATTGTAGTGTGAAAATAGTATCAGTCAAAGCACCACCTTTATTACATCAGGAATTCGATGATTCAGCAGACTTCGAATTGCACTAGTGTTTAGTACTGAGCACCATACTGCCATATATTTACTGGCTTTAAGGTCACAAAAGTGGTGCTGGCATAAAAAATCTTGGCAAATGCAAGATATGCAGATTTATAAGATTTCTTTGGGTAAAACAAATCTGTCAGTAGCAGACATTTATCATGAACTGTGAGTTGTATACACAACTAAAACCTTAACAAGTGAAGGTCTTGTGCATTAGTGGATCAAAATTTTCAAAGTAGAAGAAAAAGCATTCGTGATGAACCTAGAAATGGTAGGCCTTTTGTAGTGAATGAATATCAAAATTTTCTGAAAATTTTCCAAACATTCCTCAGACTATTTTGTATGACAAAGTCATTCAAAAATTAGCTACCAGAAGTTCTGTGCTCGGAAGGTCTTGAAAATTCTCATGGGACATTCACAAAACCAGTCAAATGAGCTCTGCTTTTCTCTCCTGGTACAATACAGAAGGGAAGGAGTTTTTTAACTCAATGACTGATGATGAAACTTGCATGCATGAGTGAATATTGAGACAAAACAGCAGTCAACGGCATGAGGTCACATCAGTCCTCTAAAAAGCTCATCAGACTTTATCAATGAGGAAGATTATGGCCACATATTTTTGGGATGTCAGGGAATCTTGCTTGTTGAATTCATGGAACCTGATATGAAAATCACTTCTGAAGTTACTGTAACACTTCGAAAAAATTGACAAAAGCCATCAAGAACAAACACTGCTGACATCTTGAGTTGTGTTCTTATATGACAACACTCACTCTCACACTGCTTGGAAAACACAAGAATTTTCACATCAGTTTAAATGAGATGTTTTTAATCATTTCCCATACTATCCAGATCTGGCTCCTTCCAATTTTTATCAATTCATTCATTTGAAGAATTGGTTAGGAAGCCAACATTTCACTGATAATGAGGCTCTTCAAAATGCTGTGATAGGTTGCTTGAAATCCCATCAGCAAAGTTTTATGCAGAAGGGATTTTTAAGTTGAAGAAACAGTAAAACAAGTGCTTGAATTTACATGGCCAACTGTGTTGAAAAATAGAGTACAACTGTACTTTTCAGTTGAAATTAAAAAATTTGTTTTTTTAGTTACAGTCAAATGAAGGTTACTTTCTGAATTACCCTTGTAATTTCATTATTATTAGATGTCAAAAATATTTTCACAAAGCCTTTATTTGTTTTACAGAACAGAAGTCATAAAACAAAAGCAGTTCCAAATAATTTTTCTACTAAAAAACTATAATAAATAACAGATTTTCCTTTCTACATGTGGAAATCAAATACTCTTTTTTTAAAAATATATATATATATATATATAGAAAGTATTCAGTTCCATACCTGAATACATTTTTTTTTAAATTATCATATACTTTCTAATATTTTACAGCTTTAAATTAAATTTCATCTGCAGTGTATTTTGAAAGTTTTACTTACTGTCTTTGTTAAGTTAGAATATAGCGCCACCTATTGGATAGGGAGAGAAACTCTCACTTGGCCATCTGGATTCGGCTAAGCAACATGCCAGAGCATGTATTAGATCTGAATAGTTAATAACTGTAAATAAATTAGTTAGTTCTTTTGCTATACAGTCCACTTATTAGTTTAGAATCATAGTACATGGTCAGCAGAGCCGGAGAAGTGAACAAAATGCTGGCATTAGATAGAAACAAAACTTCGTTAAAAGCGAAACTAACTAGGTTAGAAAATGTAGTGAAGGAATATGATGATAGTTCGAATAAGAATGAAATTCAAATAAAGTATAGATCGCTACAAAGCATTCAAATGGATATTAGAAACTTGAGGATTAGATATTTCGAAAGCGTTGATGAAAAAGATGTCACAGACATCGATGAAGAAATCGCCGAAATGGAAGAAAGAACTGAAGTTCTGGAGGTAAGAATTATGGAAATTCTATCATCTATAGCACATTCTGAAAATGAAAATGATTGTAGTAAATTTGATCCTAAAGTACAAATATGTTTGCCAGAATTACCAATTCCTAAGTTTTCTGGTAAATATACCGAATGGAATAATTTTAAGCTTCAATTCGAAAACATCATAGCGAATAACACGCAATTAACAGAAGTTCAGAAACTCTACTATTTAAAGGCTGCATTAACTGATGAAGCAAAAAATCTTGAAACTGTTGATGATACTTTTAATTCTCTATTTAAAGCTCTTCAAGATAGGTATGAAAATAAAAGATATTAATTGAGACGCATATAAAGTCAATAATGGATTTACGTACTTTAACATTCGAATCGTCTAAAGGAATAAGATATGTAATAGATAATGTTACTAAAAACGTTAGGGCTTTGAATGTTTTAAAAATAGAAAAATAATTTATCGGATATTCTGTTATTAAATATCGTACTTCAGAAACTAGATTTCGAAACGCGCAAACAATTTGAACTAAGCATTAATGCCACGGAAGTTCCTACGTTTGATGAATTAATTTCGTTTTTAGAGAAAAGATGTCAGTTATTGGATAACATTAACCGTAGTATTAATAAAATGAAATATCCGTTAGAAAAAAGTTCGAAATCAAAGGCTCTGATGGTTAAAACCGATAGTGTTTCGATTTGTGTTACATGCAAAAATAATAATCATCCACTGCATAAATGTGATTCATTTTTGAAATTAAATCCAAATCAAAGATATGAAATAGTTTAAAACCCATAAATTGTGTCTAAACTGTCTCAGTAACGAGCATTTAATCGCAAAATGCAATTCTAAGTTCAGATGTTCGGAATGCCATAAAAAACACCATTCATTAATACATCGCCTGCTCAGAAATGGCGCCATTCAACATAAATTAGACAAAACAAAAACGGAAGCAACTAGTGACGAAATTATAAACAAGAACACAGATGTCTCTAATAAAAATCAATCAAGTTGTCTTTTGACACGCAGAAAAAACGTGTTATTGGCGACTGCAATAATATATATTTGCAATTCCGAAGGAAAAAGAATCCCAGTTCTCGCAATACTTGATAACGGCAGCATGAGTTGTTTCCTGTGTGAAGGAGTTGCTAATTTGTTAAATTTAAAGAAAGAAAGAATTTTTGCATCTGTATCCGGAATTAATGAGAACGTTATAAATATTAATTATCAACTAGATGTACAGATTTCGAATAAGGATTTAACATATGTAAGATCAGTTAATTGTTTAGTTATTTCTAAAATAACCAATGTAACTCCATCAAGGTGTTTAGATGTGCAGTCATTAAATATTCCCATTGATATTGAATTAGCGGATCCGCAATTTGGAACACCTAACAAAATAGATATGTTACTAGGGGGCCGAATTGTTCTTTGAGATTTTAAAACAAGGAAAATTTCAATTAGAAAATCAACCATTGATATTCAAGAAACAGTTTTTGGATATATCGCGTCTGGTGCATGCAAGAGTGACTCCAGAAGTAAATTATTGTGGTTTAGTGTTCTAAATAGTGAAGAAAGAGTTGAAGAAATTTTGCAAAGATTTTGGGAAAGTTGAATCCATTGAAAATATCGAGGATGCTTTGAGTGAAGAAGAAAAATACTGTGAAGAACATTTCAAGCGTACTCACTATAGACAAAATGATGGAAGATACGTAGTTCAGTTACCCATAAGGGAAGGTATAGAATTAGGAGAATCGAAAACGCTGGCTGAGAAAAGATTGCATCAAGTGTGGGAATCGACTAGAAAGTGATTCGAATATGAAAACATTATATAAGAATTTTATTAAAGGGAATATAAGGATCTAAATCACATGGAAGAAGTTCAAGAAATTGAAACATCGACTTGCAATTATCTTAGTCATCATGGAGTTTATCGGCCAGAGAAAGCCTCTACCAAGCTTCGCGTTGTGTTTAATGCATCCGCGGCTACTAGCAATAGAAAATCACTGAACTCAATATTAATGAAAGGGCGAATACCGCAAGAAGATTTATTTTCTATTATTATTAGATTTCGAAAGTACAACTATGCATTAGGAGCTGATGTTCAGAAGATGCACAGACAAATACTTATTGAACCATCTCAACGAAATCTGCAGTTGATCTTGTGGAAAGAATCAGTTGGTAGTACTGTGAAGACTTATCGTCTTTATAAATTGTGCTTTACATTAAAATGGAATTGTTTAAAGAATAAGTTCGATTGTAGCATAGTGAATGTTTATGTTCTTAAACTGTTACATTATTTTATATTATATTCATGATGAAAGATTATCTATTAGCTTTCATATTGTATTGTAGAATTAGTTGTTCTTGATTGGTTAAAATGTATGTTTGTTTGTAATTTACATGTTGAAATTTGTAATTTCAACGGGCGGCGGCATGTTAAGTTAGAATATAGCGCCACCTATTGGATAGGGAGAGAAACTCTCACTTGGCCATCTGGATTCGGCTAAGCAACATGCCAGAGCATGTATTAGATCTGAATAGTTAATAACTGTAAATAAATTAGTTAGTTCTTTTGCTATACAGTCCACTTATTAGTTTAGAACCAAAGTCCAGTCTTAAATATTTTAAATATCCAATCCAATTTCAAAACTTTACATTATGTGCAATATCATTCAAAACATGTTTTCAGAATGTGCTGCAAAACTATAGATAACAATAATAACATAGAAAGAAAACCAATTCAAAAAGTTGCATATTTGCACATGTCAAGTCAAAATTTCTTTATCCAAAATATTTTGTAACCATATACTGACAGTGTTTGTGTGTATAATATGCATACCATACATACACACAACATTAGAAAAACAAGGGAGAAAGGTGTTGCAGAAAGTGGGCTATGATTTGAGAAAAACTTCTGAATGTTAGAAGAAATACCTTACTGAAATTTTGACTCATACAGACTTCTTTTTTCCAACTTAAAAGCTCTTCACACCTGGCATAATTTTTCTAATTCTAGTATTTACTGTTTGTCTGAATCAATATTATCTAGGATCTTTAAATCAGCTCACGATTAATCTTTCATTTAATTTTGAGATTGTTATAGATTCTTCTTCAGTAAATTTACAGATACGAGATTCCTGAGTTTCATTAAGAATGATCTAATACTAAAACTTCAGAAAACAAGCGAGTTCATCAATCAGATCAAGAAAATTTGCAGTTATGCAACTTGCTCAACATTGTTTCCACACATATTAAATTATCTTCTCATTAACTATTCAGTTATTAAAAGGAACACAGGACTAGCTTTTATATTAATAAATCAGGTAATAAAAGGCAGACCTAAATATAAAGGCAGATGCATTATGTGAGAAATGATTAATATAATAATAATGGTAGATGTAAAGAGAAACAGCAAATAAAAAACTTAAAAAATAAGAATGAGAAATAAAGAGAGGAAAATGCACATATTAATTCTTAAAACCAACAAACTTGCATTCTTCTGTGGTAATCTATGTTTTCCCATATTTACATGAGAAATGCATGCATAAAACTTATTAAATTACTTAATAAGGACTGGAATAACTTGACTATGTATAAATATTTCTGTACAACATACATCTTCAGAAAAAACTTATAGCCAGATTCAATATTAGAATTTATGCCAATGACAAAACAGTTTTGATTATGAGCATGTTTAAACAACAAAAATGCATGTATACCAAATGAAAATGTGAAGCCAAAATATGGGAGTATGATAAAATCTTACTTCCATCACTGAATCTCCACAAGCTGAGTAAGTGTCATTCGAAGCAGCTGGAGAATCATCCGCTGTCTGAAAGGCACTGTTTTCATAATGCTGAGTGGTTCTGCTGTCTAGAAGTGGTTGAATAACAGCTTGACCATCATCTTGGATATCTTCACTTTCACTTGCTTCACTTGAGGAAGATGGACTTCCTAATTGGCTCACACGCCCTTTCTCCAGCATAGAAATGGGGTCATGACTTCCTCTCTTATTATTTTCTGCTACTTTCACTGATAAGAAAAAAAAAAAAAAAAAATCTTTTTTTTTTTTTTTTTTTTTTTTCTTTTCAGTTCTTCAATTGACTTTTAAACATTTAAATAGGAGGAAATACTTAATAACTTTTAAATACTTAATGAAAAATAATACAAAAATACTTTTTTATAAGCAATGAAAATTATAATACTTTTTGATGAAAACAATTCATCACACAAAACGTGGCCATCAAAAATGGAAAACATGGATATTACACAAATTCATGCGCATGAAAGATTTGTAAATATTCCATTTACAAAATGAGAAAGGAGCTGAAGAAGTACAGTTTTTAAAATAATCCTTAATTTCATGCATATTCTAAAGTTTTTTATTACACTTTTTAACTACACTAAAGCTCTCTTTCATCTTCAGACTTTTCATGTAACGCTGAATTATTGCTCAATAATTAAATATTTTTAATGTTTTAATATCTCAATTATCTAAAATTTTAAAAACAATAGATAATTAATTATGTATCCTTACATATTGATATAACATATATTTATTATGTGTGTAATTAATTAAATACCACTTCTATTTGTTTTAATAAAATTACTATTTTCAAAAAGTTTTTAATTAATTAACCCAAATGTAAAAATAAATCAGCATCTATAATATTCTGGAGATTAATAGCATCAAACTTATCACATTTACCTGAAAAAATGAATCAAAATTTTCATTGCATTTTTCACTTAGGATATTTTTTGGGGGGTAGGGTTAAGGATAAAGGAAGTGTAAAGAAGTAAAATCTTAATGAAAAAAATTTTAATAAAGAAATCATGTCATACTTACAATACGCAGATGATGCATTGCAGCCTGGGGGACCAGATGCATATGGACTGCGATGATTGTCCTGATTTTCTGTCACATTCCCACCGATTTGATCACTGTTTTCCCCACCAACTTTTCGCAAACCTGTATACAGACTTGATGACTGTTGAAATCTCTGCAACACTTCATCTTCACTATCAGTGGATGATTCCACTTCCTCATACTGGAAAGCTGTACCTGCAAAAATATCTCTTTGAAAACAAAGTTCAAACTTCGCATTTCTTCTGTGAAATTTTGTATTGATTTGATATAAATATTACCACCATTTCCAAAGAACTCCACATCAAATCAAATTCATTTTACAATGCATGATTCAGCAATTAAATTATTTACATAAGGTATTTCTTTCGCCTTCCTAGCGTGCTTTCGTGGTGTAGTGGTTCTGCCTGCTGGGCCAGTATTCCAAAGGTCTGTGGTCTGATTCCCGGTGAACGCGGTTGCTAATTTTTCAATCTCTCTTGCTTTCAAAAAATCCTAATGTCTCTACAGTGGCATTCGAACTAAAAGGGTGTGGGATTATGATTCTCCTCACCCAGGATTTGGCGATAGGGTTCCCTAAAATCTCCAGTCGCCCTTTAAAAGGGGGAGTATATAAGGTATTTCTCCCGCCTTCCTACAGTGCCTTCGTGGTGCAGTGGTTCTGCATGCTGGGCCGGTATTCCAGAGGTCCATGGTTCGATTCCCATCGAAGGTGGTTGCTAATTTTTCCATCTTGCAATCTTTTCTTGCGTCCAAAAAATCATAATGTCTCTACAAATTAATAATTAATGTACACACTATTGTATGGATAAACATAGTAATGTATTATATATTGATGTAAAATTAATTGTGAAACAATATACTATCTTTGCAGACAGATACTAAAGACACTTTTTATCTGTAAAAATGCAAATCTTTTTCGGTACAAGCACAAATATTTGTTATATCCATTATCATTAATGCAGCAAACAATACATGCACACAAACGAAAAATAAATAAATAAATAAAAGAGACCAGTGTAAGGATCAGCATAGCTGCCGGTCTTGAAAAATGAAAATCAGAAAGGTTTATGTGCTGCATAGTAGCACTATTTCAAAAGAACTCCATACAGACTCAAATGTACTTTACAATGCATGATTCAGCAATTGAATTATTTACAAAATGATTCTGATATACAATACATTAAATATTCTAAATTTTATGTTCTTTGACTATTTTCATTATGTAATTTCCTTATATATATATAGCAAGAAAATCCTGAGTAGTTTTCTTTATTAATATTTAATAAGATGTTATCAGAAAGCTACACTATTCCTTCAAATTAAATAAATTAAATACAGCAAAATATCCCTGAAAGAGATAACTTTGATTCATAATATTTCATACACAAACTTTGGGTCTGGCATGTTTATGCAACATATAAAAGAATTTATTGCATTATTTACATAGGGGGAAACTATGTAATGCTATGAAGAACTTTCACCTTGAAATCACTTACAGAAAAGTAATTATGATTATTTTTATTACGCTATTTTCTGAATAAATAAGTATTTCATAACATTTTAGATTTTACAAGTCTAATTAAAATTACTTATAGTTTACATCTCTTGACATTAACTATAAAAAACAGTTTCCAAAAAATAACAGGCCAGATCACTTACATTTAATTAAACACCATAAAAAATAGCAAAGACTGATTTTTTAGTCAAAAGAAATGATGAAAACTGTATATATATTTTAGGATGTAAAAAATTACATTAGGCACATTAGAGACCTTTACTGATAATATTTACATGGCCAGTTTAGTTAAAAAGAAAAGCTAGATTTTTTTATCCATGTATCATTATGTAGCTAGTCGATAACTTTATTTCTTTTGCGCATAAAAATTTAGATTTATTTATTAAATCAAAGCCATTTTAATACATCTTCTTGATTCACTTGTCTCACCTCATAACTACAAATCATTCTGCTGGGTCACTTTCAATTTCTTCAAGTAATGCAACAAACTCTTGATGATTCAGAGTTCTTATATTCATAAAGTTTAAAGTTTTCATATTATCCACTGATACACTTTTGCCCCAAAGTGCTTATTGATGAATAAGACAATATATAGCCCGTTTAGCACTAGTCAATTTTTTACAAGCATAGCAGCTGCACCATTACTTGCAAATTCATTTTATCGAAACTTTATTTATATTTATGTGCTACAGTTTTTATTTCAGAAAAAAAAAAAATATCCTTGCAAACCAGATATTCCTTTCATAGTCATTATTTTCAATAATTTCTCAGTTATTTCAAATTAATCAGAAATACCTCTCATGATAACAGCAAGTTGTAAAATGTCTGTGATGTTTCTTTATTACAAATAAAATAATTTTACTGCACACAATAACCACAAAAGCACATAGTTTACCATTTACTTTGAAAAACACATTTTTCTCCATCCAATTTTCTAACCTTTGTTAAAAACATGACTTGTAGCTAAGCCTCTTAATTAAGATCACTATTATAATTTTATTTGCAAGTTTAATTTAAAAAGAAAATATTTTTGTACAAAAAGCAGCACTCAAAAGTTGAGCACAATCCTAAATGATAAGTATTGATGTTATATATATCTAACATATAAGCACAAATAATAACAGGTCTGCTAAGAATATATTTAGTTTGTCTCCATCTATATCACAACATGGAATATGGAATATCTATCAGCCATGTGGATGGAGTCAGCTGTCTGAGCATCACTCAAAAGGATATATATATACAAAGTACTAACCGGGAAGCTTCTACGTTTGTTTTCAGAGGTTCTTTAAACCAACTCAATACAAAAAAAGCAGAAACATCAGATTACTAAAGCACCACCAACTATCAGATGGCAAACTAAAATTTGGTGATTGTACTGACATGGGAAGTTCTTACACTTACTGCAGCTTGACATACAAGCACACAGCGATACCAACAAAGCCACAACTATTCAATCTACCTCTTTGTTTCCTGCAATGGCAGTCGTGCCCATAAGCTTTGTCCATATTTCTACATCTCTTAAAGTGTAAGCACCATATTTACAACAAACAGATAATTGAAAAGCATTCCCAAGCCATGTAAAATTGCTTTGGGAGGCTGAATGCAGGTTGCGGAATACCAGTTTGAAATCATGGTCCTAGGAGAATAGTATTATAATAAGAATACTTTATGATACACAGTGTGTTTTGAAACTCATGGGCAAAAATTTAGAGGTGATAGAAAACATCTAAATAAGCAATTTTCACCATACAATGCATGGGCGGAGAGCAAACGATGAACTGCTAAGAGATTACTGTCATATGAAAGAATGAAACACCAAATGGACAGGGAAGGTACAAAATAATTTCTATTAACAACATGTGTGGCAAAATTATAGAAGCTGCTCAAAAGAGCGATTGCTTGGGGTGATGCAAGTGTAACACCTGCCTGCCGTAGTATTACACCTGCGACATAATGAGCAGTGCACTATTTTAAACACACCTGGCATTTCTTGGACATCACCCGCAGCAGAGATCCTGGCAACTACATCTTCTTCAGAGTTGATGGAGCTTTCATGGACAAGACACGTACATTGCAAAAAAGAAAAGGGGACAGTTCTATATCTCCTGTTCTACTGGGCTGACTGACAAAATTCAAATGGCAATTTCTATGTCTCGAAAGCACGACTTACAATATATATTAGATTTATATATAGCATTGTTCTAACATAAATATTTTGACACAAAATCGGACTTTTTCTGAAATGACATGCCAATTATTTTCCATATTTCGATTCTACGACTTACATTATGACTAAGTAAATTTTGTAGAATTTGGTGCAAAATTTATGGAGAAATTTAAAACTTTATCTTGGCTAATTTTTTTTCAGTTTGCACCAAGAATAATTCACTTGGCGAACTTCTTAATTTATAGCAACCTATTTTCCTTTCTTTTTTTTTTCATTCTAGATGAGCGGGAGGGAAAAAATCATCATTCATACTTTCAAATAATTTTAAGAAATTGCATAAACCACATTTGACATTATTATCGCTTATAACAAAATATGTCAAATTTCAAAATGCGCCAATACGTCAATTCACATATATCCTAAGAAATTTTGAATAAAAAATTCTAATTTTTTGCAGGTATGCTTAGAAATACACCTGCTTTAAGATGATGGTAAACATTTCATAGGTTACCATTCAATTTTTTTTCAAAAAATTTAGAAAAATTACTTAAAAATATACATTTTAAAAATAAATTGGAAAAAATGGGTGAATTTTATTCGAAATGAACCTATATTTTGAAATGTGAAAGGTAGAATCAAATAAATTAATAAAAAAAAAGAGATATTAATAAATATATACAAGATTCAATTAAGATGGAGGAGCTAAAATTTTGAGAGCTAATTTTTTACAAATTACTCATGCGATTTTTACAAAACTTGGCAGATTGACATAATTTGAGTCACAGAATTGAAATAGGGAAAGCAATTGATATGTTATTTCAGAAAAAGTCCTATTTTGTGTCCAAATACCTGTATTACAACAATGCTTTATATAAATCTAATATATATCCTAAGTCATGCTTTCGAGACAAAAACACAAGTTGAATTTTGTCAATCGGCCCAGTAGAACGAGAGATAGAGAACTGTCCCCCCCTTTCCCCCCCGGCAGTGTACATTTTCCTCCTAGTAAAGATTATATGAGGCACGTCCAGAAAGTAAGTTCCGTTTCAATTTATCTCCGCTGCAGCTCTGCGATCGCAGTTCCGCATATGCACAGCAGACGCTCTGTATCAAGGAGAAGAAACGCGCGCCATTTGGAGATCGCTGTCAGTCACGTACGCTTTGTTGTGCTTGTTTACTATGTCGGTGTTGATTGAAAATCCCGCCGCTTGTGAAATCAGATCTGTGATTCGTTTTCTGAATGCGAAGAAAGTGAAACCTAGTGAAATTTATCGGCAAATTTGCGATGTTTACGGATCAAAAGCAATGAGTGATTCAATGGTGAGAAGATGGGTCCGAAAGTTCAATGACAGACGTAGTGATGTGCACGATGAAGAACGAAGTGGGCGTCCATCTTTGGTTACAGAAGAACTGGTTCACGCGATTGATGACAAGATCCATGAAAACCGAAGGTTTACAATTAGTGCTCTCGCTATGGAATTTCCCCAAATTTCACGATCACTAATGCAT